GCCTCAGAGGTATGGTTAATGCTAGTCGCCCTGGCTCCTGTTGTGACGAAGTTGCTTACCTGAATGGTTTTCGTCCTGTAGATGAGCGGGAGGGCTGCTACCATCACCCGCATCCTTATGACAGTTGTCCTATCTGTCGTGAGGGTCTTACTTAGACGTGCCTTGCACCCTGACAAAAATGTGCAGGTGCTCTGAAAAGAGTGTACAAGAATGCGCAAAGGTGGGAAACCCTTCACTAAAACTGCAAAACAGTGAAGAATGCAGTAAAAGAAGAACATAAGTTTGTGTCATTTTACTTTGTGTGTACCCACCCTGCACCCTAACACCCTCAAAGGAAAAGTCCGAAGGGTGAAAATGAGAATGAAAAATGAAGACCGCGGTATGGTTAGTCTATTGTGTCTCCATTGTCCGAAATGTAATCTGTTCTGGAATATTGTTGCTATTCTCCCTTCCCCTAGTAAAAGGCCCTTTACGATTCAGACCCGTAATTGTGATTCCAACAATAAAGGGCCCTCTCGGCCAGAACTTAATTTCACGAGCAGCATTCCAAAAGTCAAGTTCCCTGAGGCAAATATCGCATCTAAAGTGAGATGAAAAGTCATTTTGAAAAATCACGGACAGGTCCTAGACGAACAGGTACCGAGTTCAAATATTAGGACTGAGATAGGGTCATGTCTGTTTGGCAATAAGTCAAAAGTGACAGTCCCAGACCAGTCACAGCCACGAGTCACTTCTGACTCAGACCAGGAGTCCAAAAGACAGTCCCAACGGCCACAGCAGCAGCAGACCATGGAAAGGGTACTGGGACACACACTTTGCAACAACAGGTTCTGGGCAGGAGTCCCAGGCACTTGGAGGCCGAAAGCAGACCTCGCCAGACCAGTCCAGCGCTATAAAGGACTGGCCAGCCTCCTCATTGGGCAGAAGCTCATTTCGCATGAGAGTGTGGAAGTGCTGTGGCACGTGTGCGCCAGATGTGTGTGAGCTGTGCTAGGCTGAGAGCAGCGCTAAGTGTGAGAAAGAGAAGTGGGGCGCTGGCTGGAAGGAAGGCAGCCATAGCTGCGCCAGCGCCAGTCAGTACGTTAGTAGGGGTAGTTAGTAGAAGAGTCCAGTGAGTAGTATTCAGAGTAGATCCTCGTGTGATAAGGAGTGTGCATGCATCCTACTGAGTGTGAGTAGACCAGGACTATAGACATAGAGGGAGAGAGAGAAGAAAGCAGACAAGAGAGGGGGAGGAGAGAGCTATGGTGACAATTACCTGTTGAGCGCTGTTGTTGACGTTTGGCAGCTGGCGCTGATGAGCCCCAGGCTTGAAACTCGTGTTGATTGAAGAGTACTTGTAACTCTGTTCGGCGCTATATGTTTTGGACTCACGATTTCCTCTCTTGATCTGGTTATGATATTTGAGTTGAGCTTCCTGGCTCTCATTCATCTTCTATTGAGCTTTGTGTGAGATATCGCAATCTGTGAAACCTGTGTATATGCATGTGATCTGAAGCACTCCAGTAAGTGATGAACAATCGGGTTCCTTGCATTAGCTTCTTATTGTTAAAAAACTTCAATAATTTTGTCTCTATCGACTAGATTCTTCTCTATTTTCCTACACACTCTCTTCCAGCGCCCTCTGTATTCGATCTCTAATATATTTAGGACTCCTTCCCATGTTTCCTGCACCTGAATTGACGTGCGGTCTAGATCCCATGTCACAGGAATGTCCATTGGTTCCTTTTAAACAAACTAAACAACAGCAGATAGCCCTAAAACAGTGTCAGCCCATCAACCCAGAATAAGAGCACCCAACTACCTGATTTCACGTTAACAGAATGGACCCTAGCCCCTCGAAGACCCCAACCATAGGACCCCCAACGAACCAACCTTAGTTCCAAACGCAGAACCTCATAAGGAAACCAAGCACCTCAAAAGAAAGACTCGCTAAAGCTGCAAAGCACCACCATAAGGAACCCAAAATCCCTACCTCAACAGATACACACACGGCTTACAATAATAAATAGATAAGCCAGGGCCAGGGTTATAGCAAGGACCGCAGCAAGCGTAAACCTCACAGAATTTAGCGCAAACAGAATTTAACGCAAGCAGCCCTATCACCAGTACTAACACAAAAGGAAAATCAGGCAGCCAAGGAGCTGAGAGGCACGAACCGAAAGGAACACAAAAATCAAGCCCCAAACACTAGAGCGAACGGAATTCCCTATTAGTAAAACATAGAAGAAATGTAGCACAGGCTAACTTAGGCAGGGGTGAGGGGGGGTACATCCTTCCTGATGGAAGCAATCAATTCCGCCCCTCGGGCCTCCACACCAGAAAGGGGAGGAGCGTGAGCGTGTTCTCAAGAAGGGAAATTTAGAAGAAAGTAGCAGTAAAAACAGTCATCGGAGAGAAAGGAAGGGCTCATACCCCAGGCTATAGAGAGGAAGAGGGTTCGGGGTTTAGGGTTTTAGAGCCTGAGAACAGCACTTGTTTTACATTTTTGGGACCTAGGAACAGGTAAATCACAGCAGCATTACAGCTGAGGGTTCAGGGCTTAAGGTTTAGACTGAGACAGGACAAATAGGGCTTAGGGCCTCAGAGATTTCAGAAGACGCGTAGGCGAGCCAGATCGCTCCAGCATAACACACCAACCAGACAGCGCCACGGCTGAGAGGAGCGGGACTGGGGTCAGACAGATGGGCAACAACCAGGCAGTTTAAGCAGCACAGGCTAACTTAGGCAGGGGCGATGGGTGGTACATCCTTCCCCAAGGAAGTAATCAATGCCGTCCACTCGGGCCTCCCAGCCATAACGAGGAGGAGCGTGCGTGAGTTTCTCATGTATTCCCTTTTGACTTACCGGGGGAATAGGAACCGGACTGTCGCTCCCCAGAATGGTAGGAGCCAGAACCAAGAGGTTCTGTTTTATTAAAAAAAAAAAAAAAAAAAAAAGAGAATGAAAAATGAAGAAGTGCAGGTGCGCTGAAAACCGAACGTGGTAGACTCTTCACCAAAACTGCAAAACTGTGAAAGAAAGAAGAATGCAGTAAAAGAGAGAAGATATTTTTGTCAATTTATTTTATTTTGTTTTTTTTTCCCTCTGCCTATCAGTTTTCCTTTTCTGCTCCTCTCTTCCTTGTGTTTAACACCTCTTCCTTCACTCTGCCTCTTACCCATAGCGTGCAAGTGGGCTGTTATGGCATACGGGGATGGGGGCAGCTGCACTCAACTTCATCAACGTGGTGAGCCTTGTACGTTAGAGGCACGGTGGAGGAGGCGTTAAGAAGACTGAGAAACTGAATGATTTCAATGTGTCTTTGTTTTTTATTTTTATCCCTTGTTCAGTGTAAATGTTTTTTGCAAAACACTGAAAGAAATAAGAATACAGTGAAACAAAGAATAAGAGGACACTGTTTTGTGTCATTCCGGTTTGTCTGTCTCTACCTGTCTGTCGTTTCATTTTTCTTTTCTTCGCTCATCTTATTTCTTCTTCTACTTCACGTCCTTACGCTCTCAGTCAATAGTTCTGTGACAATATATATTTGGTAAAGAATTTTGATCGGACCCTGAGGCAAAAGTTGTTCAGTTTATTTATCTGCATAACATTGTTTTTTTTTTCGGATTTTTTGGATTTTGTTTCGTTTTTTTTTTTTTGTTGCTGGGACCTTCCCTGGTCCTTGCACGGCTGGGCCGCCCAGGAAAGCAGGGTGACCCGGGCGGCCCGGCTGGTAGCCTAGAAAATCACCTAATATACTCGGAAAACAGCAAAGGCTGCAGGCTCGCTGTCCAGTTTCTCTGCCAGCAAGTCAACAAGGACTTACATGAAATGACATCCCAATGCTTCTCTAGTACAAGGCCACTCTAAACAGAAATGTCTCACAGTTGTTGTGCCTGTCTTAGTTGGTTCCCTATCCATGTAATCACTGCATCCTCCTCCATCTGGCTCCGTGTTCTGCTTCATTTTGATGAATGGTGGTTTTAAGAACTCGTAGCAACAACTGAAAACAAGAAGTTATTTGTCTGCTTGCCTCGGACAGGAATTTTTAAAATATAATAAAATGCATTTACCTTCTTTCGTCCCATCTCCACCATCCTCAGCTCAATCCCAGCCCCACCCTCCCCCTCACTCCCAACCACCAAACTTCGTTACATTCCTAGCGATTGACAATCTTGCAAGCCTGACGCTTTAACGATGTGACTCAGTCAACACTGCCCAGCCTCTTTCAGGGGGAGCGATGTCCTTTATGTTGTACCTCAAATCCATCTCTTGCCTGGTGTCACCCTCTGTTAATCCATCGGTTAAAAGACTCAAAACTGAAAACCATAGTGAATTCAATACCATTGTATTACCAGACAATGACAAGTATACACCCCATTGGATGCCATCACGTTCTCATCAGGGCAACATCCCTTCCCCTGCATAAGATTCCCCCGTTTCTGCCCCTTAACTAACCCTCTTTCAAAAAACGGCGAACGCTACGGGGACACTGCGGCCAGATATTTGGAGACCACTGGGAAGGACTCAGAAAAAAATTCCGCTTGGCTCATGGTCGGACTCCGTCAGAGCCAATTCAGCACAAGGATTAGCTCACACCTGAGCCAATTAATTGTCTGTCCGCAAGGTGATGAACCCGGCGGCTGACAATCAACTGCCTCAGGTGCAAGCTAGCAAACACCCCCACACAGCTTCTTCCTAGGTACCCAAATATCGCGTCGGTACAGAAGGTACAAAGTACAAAGTCCTAGATTGGTGTTGCATGCACCCATCAGGAAACTGTCAAGTACACTGCAAGGACAGGGGGGTTTGAAAGGAGATGGGTGTTCGGTGGGAATCTCACTATTTATTCCAATTACTTGACCACATCCATAGTAGGGACAGGCCACAATAGATTCTGTCTCCATAATATTTGCATGTGTTCAATTCCTGCATTCAGCTTGTACGATCCATGGTAATACTTTGGTGTTGACTGTAATGCATGTTAAGACGTACTGCTGTGCTTTGTTACCTTGCAGAGCTAGCAGCCTTCCCTCTTCGAGTTATCATAATGGCTCCATTTAAGCCATCGTAAGTGCAAAGCAGAGACCCTTTGAGCCTTCGCTTTCTGTGTGCACCTTTTTGTATCAATCTGTTCCATCACTCATCTGTCTGGCCGCCCGTTCTGTTCGTCCTCCATCCGTCTGCCCACATGCCTGCCTGTCTGCCTGTCTCATCTGACCCCCATCTCTCATATCCTCGTTCCCTCATACTCCGCTATCCCCCACTTTTCCTTGGAAATGTGTAAATCTGAACTTCTTTCACTGACGAGGCAATGGATTGAGCTTTATGAGAATGAATTTATGCAAGGCTGCAGTGCACTGAAGGAATATATTCCTGTGGATGAAGGGTGAATGAATGAACTAGGTAGGCAATGAGCTCAATGAGTGAGAGTTTTTAAAATAGTGTTGTCTAAGCGAAGCTGATGGACCCACCACACAGATAAAACAACAGAGTCACAGCGGGGGTTCCATGCTTTTCACAGGCCTACAGGGCAATGTTCAAGGATGAATATGATTACTAACATATTAGGTAGACAATAAATACGCAATAAGCGCAAGTCTGCACAGGAACAAAGCTAGATGACAGGCAAGGTGATAGTCTTGCTACGAGTCTGCAAAAAACAACGGGAAAGATCACACATAAGCGGCAAAGGTTATTATTTGAGGTCTTCAGCAAGTGCATGGGTAGGTGGGTGAGACTGAGTAAGCAACCAAGCACACAAGGTAGAGGGAGGGAGAGTGAAAAAGGAGAGGGAGGAAGAGAGGGTGACGGAGGGAGAGGGGGAGTGAACGAGGGAGCGACTGGGAAAGTGAGCAAGTGAGAGTAAGTCAGCGAGGAGGGAGGGAAGAAGGGGGGAGGTAACTGGAGCAAAGGTGAGAGACTGAGGGAGAGAGAGTGAGGGAGTGGGGAAGTAAGAGTAAGAGTGAGGGAGTGAGGAAGTAAGAGTGAGAGTGAGGGTGTGGGGGAGTGAGGGAGGGAGTGAAGGAGTGAAGGCGTGAGGGGGAGTGAGGGAGTGAGGGTGTGAGGAGAGAGTCGAGGGACTGAGGGACTGAGGGAGTGATGCAGTGAGGGAGTGAGAGACTGAGGGCCTGAGGGAGTGAAGGAGCGAGGGAGCTAGTGAGGGAGTGACAGAGTGAGGGATTGAGGAGGGAGGGAGGGAGTGAAGCAACGAGGGAGTGAGGGGGTGAGGGAACGAGGGGGTGAGGGGGTGAGGGAACGAGAGAGCATTGGCGTGACGGAGTGAGGGAGTGAGAAGGGAGGAGGGAGTGAGGGAAGAGAGAGTGAGGGATCCAGGGAGGCAGCGAGCCAGGGAGTGACGAGGGAGTGGGGAGTGAGGTAAGGAGGATGGGAGTGAAAGACTAAGTGAGTGAGGGAGCCAGGGAGTGAGAATGAGGGAGTGAGGGAGTGAGAGTGGGAGAGAGAGAGAGAGGGAGAGAGAGGGAGTGATGCAGTACGGAGTAAGGTGGAGTGAGCCAAAGAGGGAGTGGCATAAAGGAAGGATAGAAGGGGAGGAGAGGAGGGAGGGAGCAAGTGAGCAAACGAATCTGTCTTTGAAAGAAAAGGAGATACAAATGAATAGACAGAACGACTGCTAGAGATCGTGAGGGCGAACGAGGGGGGAAGGCGGGGAGAGGGGGAGAGGGGGAGAGGGGGAGAGGAAGAGAGGGAGAGAGGGAGAGAACGAGTGAGGGAGAGAGGGAAAGAGGGAAAGAGGGAAAGAGGGAGAGATGGAGGGACCGAATGTGTGTGTGTGTGTGTGTGTGTGTGTGTGTGTGTGTGTGTGTGTGTGTGTGTGTGTGTGTGTG